CCTGTAAACTTTCACTCAATCCACAATAAAAACCTTAAATATTAAAAATGAATGAATGAAGGAGTATACCCTGCTCATGGATAGGAAGGCTAAACATTGTGAAAATGTCAATACTACCAAAGGATATGATGCAACCCCAATCCAGATTCCAACATCATTCTTTAAAGAGATGGAAAAACTAATCGCTAATTTTATATGTAGGAAGTCCTGGTGTGGGTTAATGAGCCAGACTGCAAAGCCGTTTGAACTGCAAGGTCAGCAATTCACATTCACCAGCTGCTCCTGGAAACCCTATACAGGGTCACTATGGGTTGGAATTGACTTGATGGCACTTAACAACCTTACATGTAAATGAAAAGAGACCCCAGATAAGCAAAGCATTATTGAAAAGGAAGAATAAGTAGGAGGTCTTCCACTTTCTAACCTCGAAGTTACTACAACAGTCACAGTAATCAAAACAGCCTGGTATGGGTACACCAAAACCAATCAATGGATCAGAACTGAGAACCCAGAAGAACATCCATCCACTACAGTCAGCTGATCTTCTACAAGGACCAAAAGGCATTAAAAGGGGAAGAGGTAATCTCTCTTCAATAAACGGCACTGTCAAAATTGAAAAACCATTTGTAGAAAAATGAAACAAGACCCAAATCTCACACCATATACAAAAATGAATTCAAATGTGGCTTAAAGATCTAAATGTACAGCCTAGAACTATAAAGATCATTAATGAAAAAAATAGGGACAAACTTAGGGCTCTGATACATGACATAAACACGCTACTCAACATAACTGAAAACATAGAAACAAGACAAAATAGATGACTGGGAACCTCCTAAAAATTAGACACTTATGTGTATCAAAGGAGTTCACCAAAAGAGCAAAAAGAGAACCCAGAGACTTGGAAAAAAATATTTGGCAATAATGTATCAGACAAATGACTACTTTCTAAAATTTACAGAATACAACACCTTAACAGGAAGATGACAAATAATCCCATTTAAGAGGACATTCAGAGACAATTCCCCAAAGAAGACATTCTTTGTATGTATACTTCCCTTCTCCTTTCCATACTCATTCAGCCTGTGTACCTGTCCATGTATCTACCTGCAGAACACTGTCGTTCCAGGGCTGTGTTTATAACACTGCTTAGATCTATCTCCTTTAACATTTGCATACCTCCTTATATCTTCATCTATCTTCATCATTCTTCTGCCAACTCTCTCTTCTTGTATATTGCCCTCCTTATTACCCAAGCTAACATGGATCTACTATCTAGTCAGTGAATTACTCTCCCTTCCCCCCACCCCAGCAATCATCAAAGAGTTTTAGCATGAAATCCTTTAACAGTAGTGGATTCATACAATATTTGTCCTTTTGTGATTGACTAATTACACTTAGCATACTGTTCTCCAGGTACATCCACGTTATGAGGTGTTTTGTAGACTCATCGTTATTCTTCATCACCACATAGTATTCCACTGTATGTATCAAAGTTTATTTATTCATTCTTCCATTGATGGGCATTTGGGTTATCTCCATCATTTTGCTATTGTGACTAGTGCTGCATTGAAAACTGATGTGCATATATCTACTTGTGTCATGGCTCTTATTTTTGGAGACTATACACCAAGTAGAGAGACTGCTGGGTCATGAAGTATTTCAATTTCCAATTTCTTTCTTTTTTTTTTTTTTCAAACCTCATTCTAATTTTAATTAACTTTTAGAAAAGACAAATACATCATTTTTCAACATAATCTCCTTGTTTTTCAATATACTTTGTCAATCTATTCTGATTCCCTTATTAAAAAATGTTCTAGGCTGAGCTTTGAGCCACAATTGCACTTGCTGTTTTCATTCCTTCATCAGAGGCTAATCTTAAGAATCCCAGAAAACTTTAAGCATCAATTTTCCAGCTGAGGGTTGACTTTTGAACTTTTTCTTGGTCACTGATTGACGATATTTTCATTCCATACTCGATCATTTACTCTCAGGCTTGTAGTGATAAAGCTATGTATCATCAT